GGAGCACTACTCCTAATTGTTTAAAATCCATACTCCAAAGGAGCTGAACAAATGAATGTCTGAAAGGGTTGAAATTTTTTTTTTTTTTTTTTTTTTGCCATAAAACAATGCTGTAAAAAAAAAAAAGGTGTTATATATTTAGGAAAATTATTTTCCTTCAGAAGCATTTCTCACACAGAAATTGTTTCAACAAAGGGTTTTCAGCCACTGCAAAGGAGTAGGTGAATGCTTAAATTAAAAGAAGGGCAAGTCCTCTAATTTACCAGTGGAATTACAGCTAAAGTAACAAAACCTGTGTTCAAATAATGCTGTCAGAGCAAAAGATCATTAACTATAAACCACACTACCTTTTTATTTACAAAGTTTTCTCTTAGGTTAAGAAGATGGGGTAGGTGTGTGGGTGTGTGTGAAAGAAATGTAATACCAGCTCTAGGATGAAATCAAAAAACATAGTTTTTAAATGTGAAAAATAAAAGCATAAATTTCAGAAGACAATTAAATGCTGGAACAGGACCAGACCTCCATCTTTAGTCAGGTTGGGAGGTACAGTTAGAGCGACGTTGTGCATTGTTGGCCAGACAATGTAATGTAATTCATGCAGAGATACCGTGGATTTTATTACTGGTGGTGAATAGCCCTACATCCACTGGGTGGCTTGTAGCAAGGTTCCCCAAGGGGCCAGTCCTGCTTAATATCTTTTTTGATCTGGATGAGGGAATTGAGTCTACCCTCGGTAAATCCACAGGTGACACCAAGCTGGGTGGCAGTGTTGATCTGCTGGAGGGCAGGAGGTCTCTGCAGGGGATTTGGACATGGACAGGCTGGGTCAATGGGCTGAGACAATGGAATGAGGTTGAAGGAGGCCAAGTGCTGAGTCCTGCCCTTGGGTCACAGCAACCCCAGGCAGTGCCACAGGCAGGGGACAGAGTGGCTGGGAAGCTGCACAGTGGGAAGGGACGTGGGGTGCTGGTGACAGCAGCTGAACATGAGCCAGCAGTGCCCAGGGGGGCGAGGGAATCCTGGCTTGGATCAGCAATGGTGTGGCCAGCAGGAGCAGGGCAGGGATTTTCTCTAATCCCTGTACTCCACATTTGTGAAGCTGCATTTCAAGTGCTGTGTCCAGTTCTGGGTCTCTCACTACAAGAAGGACATTGAGGTGCTGGAGCAAGTACAGAGAAGGCAATGGAGCTGGGGAAAGCTCTAGAGGGAACTCCTATGAGGAAGGGCTGAGAGAGTTGGGGATGTTTAGCCTGAGGTCCTTATCTCTGTAAACAACTTCCTGAAGGGGTGTTTTAGTAAGCTGTGAGTCTATCTGTTCTCCCAGGCAAGCAGTGACAGAATGAAAGGATGTTGCCTCAAGCTGCCTTCACCAGGGGAGGTTGAGGTTGGGTATCAGGAAGAATTTATTTATTCACTGAAAGGGTTGTCAGCATTGGAACAGGCTGCTCAGGGAAGTAATGGAGTCATGATCCCTGGAACTGTTCAAGAAAAGGTTGGATGTGGCGCTAAGTGCCATGGCCTAGTTAACACGGTGCTGTTCAATAGAGGATTGGACTTGATGCTCTTGGAAGTCTTTTCCAACCTTAATGATTCTAGGATTATTAATAATAGTTAATTTATATTATGAATTAACTCACTAGTCCACTTTAACCAGTATACAGTACTTACTACAGTGGGGCAGTCTCATCACGGCTCTTTGTTTCAGCATGGCTTTCCTTCCCTGTGCTGTGCAAGGATATCCATTGTGTAGACAAAAGTACAATTTTAATGTTAATGATTAACTCTGAGTGGTTAATGAGTTTGTAAGCGTTGATGCAGTCCTCTTCTAAGCAAATGCCTCATCACATCATCGATCATGGACCTTAAATTTTGTAATTGGGAAAAACCAGCTCTGGTACTGGTAGTGTGCAAGCACTGAGGGATGCTGGTTTGTGTCGACAGCTGTGCTGCCTGCCCTACCTGATCCTAGACCGTGGAGTTTTGGAATAATACAGCCACATATAGGTTCACCCAGGGAAAATACTCATCTGCTAATAAACAGTGTAAATGATAAATACACTTCTTGGTGGCTTTATAGTAACATAATTTATGATCTACAACAAAACTGGCATGGAGTGCAAAGCAAGAAGGTATTTCCTGCTTTTTCCAGGAAAATAAGCTTTATCCTGTGCGCTCTGCTGGACCTCTGAGAAAATACAAAGCATTCCTGGTAAATCCTTACAAGCTTAGGCTTTCAGAAGGTCTCTTTCTCTGATAAAGATGCCAATAATCCTAATATGGGTATAACACAGAAGTAAAAGTCTTTGCTCTACCTAAGGACCTGAGGTCTTTCAGATACAAAATCTTTGTAGAATTCACTGAAAAATAAAGTCTGGTAGCAAGTACATTGTTTGCAGCTTTTTCAGAGTCTGATCAGCTTTAGGAATGTGCATTACTTAAGACAGAGGGTAGCCACTGCAGGCTGAGTCATAATAATTCTATTTTAAAAGACAGGTGTTTTTAACCTGTATTTTTACCCAGCTCTCTGGCCATGCATTTAGAACTGCTGCTGAGCTAGGAATGCCACATTAGTGAGCATGTGAGGTGGATGGTGACTGTGAGGACAGGATGTGTTCAGGGCATCACAACACTAAGCTGCATTCCTGGAATACTGCAGGTAAGTTGAATCATATGTCTTAAGGATCTAGAAAATTTCTGAGTGTCCATGATCAGGGTATCCTGATTTTAATGAAATAGCCTAAATGTCATTTGTATGATTAAGGGAAACCATTATCATCACAAAGAAACAGAACAGATTTGTTTGTGTCAGAATTTTATTTTTTTATTTAGAAATCCATTCTTTGGCAGTCCTAAAATCCTCCATGGTTTAATTTTCAAAGCAATTTTTTCTATAGGTCTCCTGCCATCACTGTAACAATGCAAAGTAGTGATTAAATAGATATCTCCCGCTGGCTAAGACTCCTCTGTGATATGTTCTAGGATTGAATGCCATTCTATTTTTAAATGTTGGGCAATTACATAGCAGTAAGTTAAATCTGAGAGATGCAGTAATGTTAAAATTAAAAAAAAAAATACAGTTTTCTAATTTCAGTAGAATAGCTAAAGCAGAAGGGGATTTTTGCATTCTAGAAAACAATTAATGGCATTTATTATGAGAGAAAACCACATGTATTTTGACTTAGTTTATGGGTATCTACACTTGGCTATTTGTGATGGACACAGAAAGACACCTTTGTGATACTATTCACAGTTCTAGAAGTTTCCTTGAAAAATGTTTTGTTTCTTTAGCTATGTTTAAAGCAATGATGTTGAAAGAGCAAATCAGTACTTGCATAAAAATGTCTTTAAGAATAGTTGATACACCAAGTTATCTCACTAGCACTCAAATAAGAGTTACAGATGAAGAGGAGGCACTGTAGCTGCAGTAAGAACAAAAAATTATTATTTATAAGAATGTGTCACAAAATAATCCTTAAAAGTGCTGAAAATTCAGAAAACTTCTAGACATACATGACCTAGAAGTATCAACCATGTTATAAATGTATATAAATTTTGGATAATAGGATGGGAGATTGGATAATAAGGTAGCCATAACAAAGAGGTAAAACACATTCAGGGAGATCTTCACTTCTCCTAGTGCTGCTGATGTGGCATCTTAGCAGGTTAAAACTGACAAAAAATGCTAGGCTTCTTATTTTATGTCCCAGCATTGTTGGAATGAGAAAAGGCATCTGTGAGCATGTATTTATACAGAAAAATATGTAAATATATATAAAAGAATTAACCGCCTGGAAGAAAATGATGATAGCATTAGAGTTTTTAACTCCCACAGTGTTACCCAAGTAATCAGAGGGTTCAGTAGCAATACTGAAATTTCTTTCAGCTCATCATTAACCCTTCTAATTTGACATTCCCAGCAATTAACCCCCGTGCCCTGAGACAGAGCTTCACAGTGGGTGACAGAGACACCACTGCCAGCCCTAAAGCTGCTTGTGCCAAGGACTTTGGCAGTGGTGTGCCCCAGTCTGAGCATGGTGGCAGTCAGGGCTTGGGATCCTGGCTCTGTTGTTAACCTTCAGCTCTGTTCCCTGTGCTAGCCTCCCCTTTCTCCCCATGTCTACCTTGCCCATTTAGGCAGTGATTTGCTCATGGGCATGCTTATGTTGCTGTGTCAGTGACTGTGCTCTCTGTGCTGTCCTACCTCACCCTCCTTCCTTGTCAGGGTCTGCAGCTGGTAAGCAACATGAAGAGAGAACACATGGCACGTTTTTCTGAACTCAGCTTTCATTTTCTGAGTTATTTAGATTAAGATATGCATTTGTAAATAGGGTGAGATCTACAATTCAATGCAATGAAGAAGAAAGAAGTGTGAATTTCACACTGATGTCTGAAGCTCCGTTGTTCTTTGCTCCTTTGGGCTGTGCAGGTGATACCTTCCAGCTGGTGCTGGTGAAGCTGGGCACTTACCTGTATGGGTAGCTAGGGTGAGGCTTGATGTTTGTTAATTCAGGGAAAGCATCTGCTCTTTAGTGATACAACTTGGGAAGCAAGCATTTAAAGGAACTTCAACTAAATATTTGTGAAGGATGACATGCATTCTAAGCTCTACTCAAGTACAGTTTGAGCACTGTGGCAAGGTCTAGGGATGATGAGGCGAGGTTTTTCTGTTGTCACAACAGCAACGTGAGCACTGTCAGAGCCAGCAGCAGATGTTCAGCCTTCTCTGTTTACTGATGTGTGTGGCACAGTCTCATTCAGTCCTGTGAAATGCCTGCTGCAGGGCTTCCAAAGAAAGTACTCTCTAGAATGAGTGTTTTGCCTTCCTGAGAACCTTACTGTGCTTTATCAAATGATAGTTAGATTTCATATTGTTTTAAAATAATTTTATAAAAATTTACTGGCTCAAGGGCTGGCAAATAAGAGGATTATGGAAAATAGGAAAAGAATTGCTTGTTTCACCTGATTGCCATGAAGTTAAATAAACTGAAGGCATACTATGAAGCACCTGGAATACAGACTCAAGGTTTTCAGCTTGAGCCCATTAACAATAAGACCGTGTGAAGGATCAAAACTTGCTCTGGGGCAGCAGTTTGGATACAAATTACCTTATTTCAGTAAAGAACACAACTAATGAAAGTGAGTCACAGTTACTGTGTTTTGTTTCTATCCAACTAACAATTCTTCATTTATTTTCTGCTTTCAATTACTTTGTTAACTTGTCCTTTCCTTTTCCTTTTTTTTTTTTCTGCTCAAAAGCTTGCATTATTTCTCATAATGCTCTTAAAAATTAGTGCCATTTTCTGTTGAATGTCAATTTAGCTTTTCCTCAGTTTCATTTTTCCCATTTTATTGAAGGTTCCTGGCAACTAAGAGAAAGCCAAAGTCATTGGTGAATGTTGCATTCCTCACATGCAGATTTTTCTTGTTTGGTTATCTGTGTCAAATTTGCCATTCTAAGCCATTGCTGTCTACCTTAGTGCACATAGGTAAGATTAAAATAAAGTTATGTAGTAGGATGAAGCAAAAAGCTTTCATGATCATATAAAAACAAACAATATTTAAAAATTTTAGCACTGCTGACCAGAAACACTTTGGTTTTGTGTGGTTTTATTGTATTGTGGGGAAAACTGCCTAACTGAACCATGTATGTATAAATGATCCAGGATTAAGCCTACATAAAACATTCACATGGAGGTTAAGGTGTTAAAGGAATCAAGAACCAAAAAGATGTAGCTTTGCTTATAGTTTTAATGTTTTTAATGACTTTGAATTTAATTGTCCTTTAGAACATCTGAAAGCCTTTTTGAGCATGTCTTTGCCACTATTTATAGTCTCAGCAAAATTCCATAGATCCAGATGAATATATAACCATCCCTGACAATCCAGAACACATTTCTGATGTTTGAGCCCACTATCACTAAATAACATGAGAGAAGGCAGAACAGTGACTCATAACAGTAGCAAACTGCATCTTGAAGTGGTTCACGGTCTTTGGTTAGAAACAGAACACACACTTTTCTCCAGTATGTCATCTGAACCTGTCACATGCAGTTTCTTGCTGGAGGTGAAGGAACAAAGTGGTCATTCTGTGTTGGATGGGATTTATTTGCCTTTTGCTGAGTGGTTCAATCATAGCTAATAATTTGCAGATATGTGACATCTAGGTTTTATGACAGGCACCCTTTTTTCTGGATAGGCTTCTAGTAAAGAGGGAAGAAAGCTAAGACATCTAACTGGCATTAACATGATTCTTGGTGCATTTATGTTTGTTATGTATATTTATTTTTGCAGGAGGGACATGAGTTCAGTCACCAAATCATTGAGTTTCTATGTTGAAATGGTTTCCTTTACCATAAATTTGTATATTTTCATTGTTATTTCATTGTCTTACTTTTTGTGAAGTAGAAGTATAAGGAGATACAGGCTAATTCATTATAAATTATATTTTCAAATTATTCTTGGGATACCTGAAAGTTTGAGGAGATTTACTGATACAGAAGTATAGCTAAACCTCGCCACCTAAAGCTCACAGGAAAAAGCTGTTCCTTACCATAAACCCCATCCTTCAGATTTGCATTCCTTCTTGAAGAATATTCATATGTCATTTGGAATATCTTTTAAGCTTCTGGAGTATTATCTGACCTGAGAGTTGGAATGAGCTGAGAAATAGGAGTCATAAATATTTTCCCAGTCCTTGCACTGACTTGCTGTGTGACCTTGAGTGGGTGGCTTGGGCAAATGCTTTAGGAGTTCTCTCTGATTTTGTGTTCTTTGCTTTATCTAGATAATCTTTTCAGGTGTAAGGACAAGGAAGCTATTGGTTTTTAACACCACTAGCAGCCAAAATACTGGCCAGCATTATTGAAAAAATGGTGCATGAAACTCTGCCTCAGTTATGCCATCTCTAAAAGGGGGAAAAGTCATGTAGATAGTAAACTGCTTATGTTTAGAAAAGGAAAAAATAATCTCTGTGCAAATGCAAATATTATTTTATTTTAGGGTTTCTGACTGCTGTGCATAACTCAGGGAATCTTCACATTCTCGTGAATGAACAATCTATCTTCTGTTTTGCCTCCTATGAAAGGGAAGACTTTGGCATGCTCAAGTATGCCTTAAAAGCAGTGCTGCCTCTGGGATCTCACATTAACATAATGATAAATGTGCTGTGTATTGCTTGAAAATGCCATGCACCAACGTGTCAGAATGTGTTTTCCCTGCACACCTCTTGATTAGCATCTTATTTACATATTGGCAGGAAAGGGATTCTGAGAAAGACCTACAAAATAGGATATGTGTTAGTACGTTCTTCTCTAAGGCCAGGGTATTAGTTGCAAAAGCAGCTCTCTGGTGGCATGTCCTTCGTAGCTAGTGGGTAATACATTTTGAAGTACTGAGCCCACCTGAGTTTTAGCAAGTAGGAGCAGTGCTGATGCACTTTCCCATCTTATACTAGTGCAGGATTTACTGAATAATCAAGACTCAATACATACCTTGGACAAAAGTACTTTCCCACATTTCCTGGTATGTTACAGGGCAAAATATCTAACTTTAGTGGAATTTTCTTCAGTTTCATCCATTCAAGTAGTATGCAAATGTGAAAGAAAATAGTGGAAGAATTTAACATCACTATCAATTTATTTCTCAATGCTTTTGCTTGTGTCCAAATATATTATTATTCTGTGCTTTGGTTTTGTTTGCTTGTTTGTTTTAAAATAATTTTCTGATTTTCTAATATCTCACATTATTCAGAAGCTCCATGTTCTCGATACTTATTTTAGCAGGGGTAAGCATGAGAGAATATGTATGCAGTCAAAAAGCCACTGAAATGATGCTTTCTATTCCTTATATAAATTAAAGCTACTGTTGACATTGTAATTTATACTTGTGCAGTGCTTGTAAATCCTTGTTATTAGAAAAGCTTCAGGCTAGGGACTGCATGGATCTATCACTCTATCCTATTGAACTGAGTCAAAATAAATTTCAAGATACAATGTACAAATAAATATGAACAGGTAGGAACCTGCAAAGAATGCATGGCCAAAATTATTATGAAAATCATATCACTTGAACAGACTAAACAATTTTGTGGCATCACAGAAAATTAAGTGTATATTTTCACATCTTATAATAGATGTGAAAGAAATTAATGAAGTAGCCATTGGTAAGGTAAATGCCATTTTCAGGAAGATGCTGCTTATTTAAGATATACTTTTTCAAGAGGACTGAAAAGGGTGTTTTAGCACTTGAGATGTGAAGTGATCAGAGTAGATGAGCTAATTAGGAACTTAGAGAAGCAAAAAACCTCTTGTCTTAGAGTTGCTTTTATGATTTAAAGACAAAAAAAAATCTCAAACCCTTCTCTGAAGCAGACATAGCCTGGATGCCATGCCTGGAGATGCCAGATTGGGAAATAATATGAAGGGAAGGAGGATGTTATGAGTCACCATCTTCTGGAAAGGGCATAGCAGAGTTTGAAGAGGAAGATTAGATTATCCAATTTGTTCTGAGTTTTATATGAAAACTGTAAAAAAAAGTGGGGTGAGCAGCACAAACTAAAATTGTAGTTTAGAGGAAAGAACTCAAGAAAGGAGATAGAGGTTTCTGAACCATTAGAATAGAGTTAGGAGATTAATTCATGCTTTCATTGACTTTTACAAATGGCTCTGAGCAAAAAATTGGTTCAGGGTACGATAAACATTATTTTGAATGTTACAATATAAAATGCACAGTAGACTAATATCCCCTCAAGCAATGACTGTAAATACAGTTGTTGATATTAAATATCTGGAGGTTATGTTATTTTAATTGCCTCTAGAGAGGACTATCTCAGGGAAGTTTTGATGTTGAATTTTACTGGCTCCTACTGGCAACTGTGAAGTCTGAAACTAGAATAGTTCAGCTCAGAAAATTTGGAGAGCTGCCAGATCCAGTGAACTCAGTGGATCAAATTCTGCTGGTTTTACACATGAGGAGTCGTGTTGACTTCATTAGGGTCTCATGTGTATTACACAATACTTTCTTCCAATATGATTATATCAGGAAACTTGGATTCAGCTGCAGCTGATTTATTATTGCATTAGATATAAGTTTTCCTGCATCATACTTGTCAATAACACCTCAAAAAAAAATAAAAATGACAACACCTGGAAAGAAAATAACTTTGGAAGGCAGATGATGTCTTTGGAAAATGAAATAGATTAAACAGACAAAAGAAGTGAAAATCCGATAAAAATGTCAAAGCAAAGTGCCAGGGCCAGACTGTGAGGTTTAACATCTCTGCCGCCCTCTCACTGATGGCTTGAATAAGAGCACACTGAGGAATTTAAAATGCAGTAACAGCTGAAACATGGTCATTACAGACAGGGGGTGAGATTTTTCAAGCACAAGCTGAGCACTCTTTCAAGTCCTTGAAGTTTTAGCTTTGGTTTTTAGTAGGTGTACAGATGGGCCAACCCTGGTGTTTCGGACCTGAAGCTGGTGTGTCTGCTTCCAGCCACAGAGACCTGGCTTCTACCTCTTAGAAGGCTTCTACCTGGCTTCTAAGTGTTGTGCTTCTGTAGTTTTCTCTCAAGCTTGCTCTAGACAGCCAGTCTACATGGATGGACTCTCATCTTGCATCATTAACAGGGCTGAGAACTCAACTTCAAGGAGTTCTTGCAAGAGCTGTTTTAAATTGATTACTGTGCTGTTCAGAGGCTCTGGTTACACAGCGCTCATTAGTGACAACTAAGGCACTGAATAAAGCAGAGCTGTCAGACTTCCTGCCTTCAGAAAGACAGATAAATTAGTCTGGGCAGAGTGCCATGCTAGTCTGGTTCTATTACTCCCAGTAGCTGAACTAGCTCTGAGAGCTAGCTCGGGTATCCCTTTAGGAGAGGCGAGCATGTTGTCCGGATGTCTCCTGTGCAGACAAACAGTTTACAACACTTTGAATTGACTTTGCCTTTTCTGCTTCAGTTAAAACATTATGGCAACTCAAAATAATAGGCTAAAAGTCACAAGTTTTGCTTTTTTTGGTGGCTGTGCTGTATGGGAGACCTATTGCAGTGCAAATGGTGGGTGGCCTTTAACCTTTCCAGCTGGCTCTGCTATTACTCAGTCAGGTTCCTTCTGATGTGCACTCATTTGTCTTCTGG